AATGTCAGGATGATCAAGGAAAGATCTGCTTAGGATTCTAATAGCACCTGAAAACTAATAGGGTCTCCTCAAGTTGATCTATATCTATCTCACTTTATGCAGTTGAACACCAGAGCATTTCATTCTGTTTATTTGTTTTTTTTTTCTTTAGTGAGACAACTGGGGTTAAGTGACTTGCCCAGACTCACACAGCTAGGAAGTATTATGTGTCTGAGGCCGGATTTGAACTCAGATCCTCCTGACTCCATGGCCGGTGATCTATCCACTGCACCACCTAGCTGCCCCTCATTCTGTTATTCTAAAGAAATATTATTCTCATGCTGTAGTCTTGTGGTCAAAGATAACAGACCTGAATGCAGGATGAGTTCCTTATCTAAGTTTCTCACATTGATCTGTGGAGACAAAGCAAGATATCAATGATTCTCAGAAACAAATCCTTCTCAGAGCTTTTTGTCATTATGCCAGAGGAAAATGAAATTAGGTTGCCAGGTGAGGAATCAAACTGGGGATGTTTCCATTGTATGGAATTCTCTCTTCCCAGCCACACAAAGAAAATGGGGAACAAGAGACAGAGATGAGCAGAGCTTACCATCATTGGACAGGTCTCTAATTTGGTCCTTCCTAATTCCAAATTTGTCACACAGTTCCTCAAATTTCTTCTTTATTTCATCTGACAGATCTGGAGTCTGGCCTGTAGTTAAGGTGAGAATGAGAATGACTGCTGAGTTTCTCTCACTCGTCATTTGCAACAATATATAAAGAAAGGAGTATACAGAAGATATGAGGTGGGGGAAGGACCATGGGTAAAGTGCCTATATTGTTGATCTCAGTAATTGAACTAAAAATTTTGTGGATTGGAACTATCACATGCCACAGGATTTGATGTGACAAGTAACAAAGGAGGAAAGAAGATTCCCTTTTGATTATTGCTAAGTAAATCAACAAGCATTTATTAAGCACCTTCTATGTGCCAAGTGCTGTGTGAAACCTTAGTGATACAAAGACAAAGAAGAGCTAGCTCTTTCTCTCAAGGAGTTTACATTCTACTGGACAGAAACAACATCCTAACAAATAAGTAAATTCAAGTATGACTCCTTGCTGTAACAAGGTCCAAACATCTGTTACAACAGAAATATAAAAGATAAAAACAAAGTAAAGTTTTTATGGGGGGAGGACTATCATCTGGGGGAAGGCCTTTTGATAGATATGACGCTTAAGATGAGTCTCTAAGTGAGATGAAATCCAAGGGGTGGAGATGAGTATATAGAGCAATCCTGCATGGGGGACCAACAGTCACCTCAGAGACAGAGAGATTGGGAGCCATGAGGAGTGAATCTCAGGTGCCAGGGCCATGTGAACAATGAAGAGAAATATATGAAAGGATTTTATTGCTGAAACCATTTGGACTCCTGAGAATTTAACAGGAGATTACTCTTCTCCCTTCTCCACATTCCCCCCACCACCTAAGGAGGAACGCATCTTTCCTAATGCTTATTTCTACCTCTTTGGAGATTAGCCCTTTCTGCTTTCCTGTGTTTAAAATCTGATTTTAGGATAAACATGATAAACCATTTCATTGCCAACCTATTTTTGCCATTCAATGAGTCCAGCCCAAAATGACAATAATGGATCATCCAGGAGGGAAGAGAAGTAGATTTAAGGGTTTAATATTAGACCAGAGACTTCTCCTCTCCCCCCCCCCTTTTTTTACTGGCTAGAGGAATGGGGTGAGCAAAAGAGAATAATAGATTCCTATTTATCATTTTCTAGAGCAGGGAGAAAGAAAGATTTACACTGGGAAGGCTCTCTGTCTCTTTCTATAGACCTTCTTTTTGCCAAATACTATTCTAAGTGAGGATATAAT